GCCGCCACTGCCGCCGCCGCCGCCGCCGCCGCCGCCCCCCGTGGTGAAAGAAACTGTCAGCAGCTGCGGCAGGCGCTGGTGCTGCCTGCGGTCTGCGGCCAGGCGCTCCTCGAGCTCACCCGCCAGCTGGCGTCGGGCGACGCAGGGGGTGGGAGGGGGCAGGAGGGGACGAGAGGGTTTGAAAACGAGCCTTAGTGTGGGTGAGGGTGAGGGAACGACAAGGTATGAAAGGGGCCGGGGGGGGAAGGGGGTTGTTGGGGGAGGTGATGAGGCGCCGCGGTCTGTCGCACGTGCATGCGCAACTGCATGTTCACCACCCCCCCCCCCAAACCACACACACGAAGCTGGACCCAGCCCTTGCCTGCAGCAGCCACGAGTGCGTGGCCTCCAGGTCCCTCAGCGCGCTGCCCCCCCTGAAGGTCTTGCCACAGGACACGCTCTTGGGCAGGGTGCGGGGCTTCACGCCGTCGTCGTCCACGCCCCGCGCCAGGCGGAACAGCCTGTTGGCCGCGGTTGTTGGCGGTTGGTGGCGGGTTGGCGGCGGTTGAGCTGTTTTTACTGCGGTGCTGCGGTGTGTCGATGCACGCATGATGCTTGGCCAGGGGATGCTTGGCCATTTGCGAGAGAGGTGCTGGCAACAGAAGGGCGGCCTGGCCGCCACGCTCGCCCCTCCTCCCCCCCCTCGCTCGGCTGACTCATGCACAGCCTATTTGGAAAGGACATGCCGTGCATGGCCTGTTTCGATCCGGCACTGCACGGCGCATGGGCCCCGGGAATCTCAATCACTCCAATCTGAGCCGCGCCGCCTTGACCAAACCCCACCCTCCTAGTCTGAATCTATCCCACAACTCAACGGTTGCCATGGCTGAAACGATGCTCAAATTCACGGAGTCGGGAAGCAAGGCTCGGCTCACCACGCGCCCGCCTCGTCCCCGACCCAGCTGACTAGGCGAGCCAGGGGCACCGCCGCCAGGTCACCCACCGTGGCGGGCGGCCGCCAGCCGTCGGGGCCGGGGCCGCCGCCCGCGAGGCGCTGCGCGGGGTGCAGGGCGGACGGGGCCCGTGGCGCGGAGGGCGCTGAGTCAGGGGGGCGCCACAGGGGCGGACGCCGACCGGGCGCGCGTCGAGCCGTCTGCAGCTGGACGTGCGAGAGATCCACCCCAATATGCAGCCGGCTCTGGTGCGGGCGTGCAAAGTTCACAACCAGGGTGACAACATCAACACCGCCGGTCACCCATGCCCGTTCCCTACAGTTCCCCGGGCGCGGCCGCGGCTACGGCCCAAGCGCCGCTCCCCTCCGCCCACCTGCGCCAGCGCGTCCCCAAACTTTCCGCCCAGCTGCCGCAGCTTCCCAATGGGCAGGGGGTCCAACAGGGCGCGCACGCTGCGCGGAGAAGTCGCGGGGGGGGGGGGACGCGAGGCGCTCGGTAGTTATGGTATGATTGATAGGTGAAAACACTCAAACACATCAAGGTGGCAAGGGGTCGGGTGATGATGAGTTGGGCAGATTTTGTGGCGAGATGTGCAGCGGATGCAACGAGGATGCTGGGCCCGAAAAATGCGGAATTGGAGGGGTTCGAACCTGGATGACGGGACGATGGTCTGCTGCCGCGGCTTGTGCAGGCCGCTGGCCAGCTTTGCCAGCACCTTGTAGTGGGCTATGCCTGGTTGTGTGGAGGTGGGCAAGAGTACCGGATGAGGAGGAAGCACCCCATATGCGCCAAGGTTCAGTGGGGGACACACTTTATGAATTTGAAGATTGGGTATGTAAAAAGACTGGGAGCTGGGTAGCGCCGAGTGGCAAGTGTGTGCGGGCGGTCTGTCGCGCAGGGGTTGGGGCTGAGGCTGCTACGAGCGGGGGTTCGGGGTGTGGTGTGTGACGCCGACGGCGCAGCTCGGCGTGCTGGAGGTGGCATGTGTGTGTGTGTGGGG